GTCTGGATGTGCGGAGGAGAAATCGAGATCGTCCCGTGCTCCAGAGTCGGGCACATCTTCAGGAACGACAACCCCTACTCGTTCCCGAAGGATCGGGTGAGGACAGTGGAGAGGAACCTGGCGCGCGTGGCTGAGGTGTGGCTGGACGACTACAAGGAGCTGTTCTATGGCCATGCATACCACCTGCTGCAGCGGCGCGCGGAGCTGGGCGACCTGAGCCAGCAAAAGGAGCTGCGGGAGAGGCTGCAGTGCCGCAGCTTCCGCTGGTACCTGGAGAATGTGTACCCAGACCTGGCGGCTCCCCTGGTCAAGGCCAGCGGGCTGGTATGTACCGAGTGATGCTCTTCTCCTTTAAACCTGGTCTCGCTGGCTTGGATTAGAGGCACGGAATCATCTTGGCGTGGCTGGCTCTGAGCTGCTTCCTGGCATGTGGTTTGGGGTCTTTAATCCATCACGACAGTCAGGATTCCGCTGTGTTTTTATGAAGTTTCTATAAACTTCATCAAGTCGGAATTTTTACGAAGAGCTAAAAGTCACCGTTTCTGAGGGGCTGTTTGGCAGAAGAGCCGTGCAGTTCTGTGCCGTTTCATTCCATGCCCACCAGCAGGGCGCAGCACATCGCCGCTCTGCTCGAGAATTCCGCCAAGACAATGCGCTCAGTTCCTCGCAGTCCGTTTCTGATTGCAGTCACGTCAGTAAAGTGCCTGCTTTGTAAGATGAGTTACAGCAACGCCAGCAGTGCAACCCAGAGGGCTCCCCGCCTGCCCCGTGTGTCTGAGCGCAGGCCAGGAGCTCCACGGCAAGCTGGGCTTAGCAGCACTAGTCTTGAGAAGGTGGAAAAAATGAAATTTCTGGAAAGCATTCGCTTTTTTAGGACTTCTGCTTCTACCACAGTAATAAAACCCCACATCAAATCCAGTGCAGAGCAGTGAGGCCATACACAGGGACCTTTGTTTCAAGGGAACCGCAACCTCCTCTTCTCAGTTCTGTGCCTGTGAAAATGTCCATGGTGCTGCCATGCTTTGTCCCAATTCAGGCCACCTGAATTGCTCTTTTATCTTCATTCTCAAAATTTAATAGGGCAGAAAATCTGTTTTTCAGCTAGCTCTGCAAATTCCAGCTGTGCTGAACCCTAACCAAATTTACTTGGGAGCTGTGTTCTGAACAGCCTGCTTATTTCCCAGGATTAATTTGGAAATTCTTCAGCAATTCTGAAAGAAGGAAAGGAACTGCATTTGCAAGGAATGAAAGACAGGAGGGCCCAGCCCTGCAGGGGCTGGGATTTGGTGAGAGCACCTGCAGCCGTGGCTGCTGCCATGCCTGTGGTGCCGTGATCTCAGCCACAGGCCATGGGCAGAGCTTGGAGCTGCTTTCAGCAACCTGACCCAATGCTGTGCACTGAAAAGGGCTCATCTTGTCCTGCTTTGAGTGCTTCCAGAAGGGGCTGGGTTCAGGTTTCTCCTGCTGTAGAAATGTGTAGCAGAGCCAGTGTGCACCGACGCACACACCAAGGAGCATGATGTGGTGGCTCTGCTTCCCCCCATTAAGTGGGCAGTGTTAATCAGTGCTGGCACAGGCACAGCCTGTGCTCTTTGTGACAGCTGATGTCTCTGTGTGCATTTTGGTGCTGTTTTCCAGCTTGTGAACGTAGCCACGTCGCGCTGCATTGCCGCACAGAACGCCTCTCTGGCTCTGCAGGCGTGTGATGTTAACAACAAGGTAAGGTTGCACGGAGCACGCAGTGCCATAGCTGTGTGTGTCCCTGCTCCTGTGAGAGCGGCTCCCAGGGTCCTGGCAGAGGGTCCCCATCACCCCTCCCTCCTGCAGGCACAGCACTTCAACTACACCTGGCTGCGGCTGCTGCGGCACGGAGAGCTGTGCGTGGTGCCCATGGGTGCTGCGGGAGCGCTGGGACTGCGGCCATGCGGGGGCTGGGAGAGCGACCTGGCCTGGAGGCACAGCTCCATGGCAGCGCGCCCTGAGCTGGTGAGTGGCATCCCAACCCCTCACAGCCCCCAGTCCTCACTGCCTGGCCACTGGCCGTGTGTCCGGAGCGGGAAGGAAGCTCCAGGGCAGGGCTGTGCCCAGCAGGGCTGCACCGTCCGCAGTGTGGTGACAGCCAGAAGCCCTGGTGGCACACCAGGTGATGAGCAGCACTTACACTGGTGTTGGTATCCGCTGGTGTTCCGTTCACAGTGTGTTTTTTTTAAAGAAAAGAGTTTTGAAAGGAAGAGAATGGGTACTTAACTTTATGACCTGTACTGCAGTGCCTGTGCCAGCCCTCTGCAGGGCTTCGCTCTGAGGAACTGGCATCCTTGGTAACACTCCTAATTTTGGAAAGAACAGTAGCTGTGACTTAGCACCTCGTCCTATAGCGAAGATCCCTTTCCTCTTCAGTCCAAAGCAGTAACACTTCCATGCATTACAGGGAGAGGGGCAGCAGTGCTTTACCTTCTAATGGCACAGTGACTGTGTCACATTGGTGATGTAAGCTGCATTTACCACATACAAAAAAATCCAATTTTTGCCCAGGCATAAATCCACGTGTCCTTTCAGGACTGTTTCCCCTCAGTGTTACACACGTGTGTGCAAAGCACTGCAGGCCAGGCAAAGAACACCCCAATAGGAGCAGCCCTGGGGCAGAGCCTGTCTGGCCCGGGGGCTATGGGGGGAAAGATGTGCAGATGTGAACCCAAAGGATCACCCTCTCTGCAGGCTGAGCACCTTGTGGTGCAGCACCAGCATCCACCTGCCTGCCTGCTCGTGCACCCGGTGCTGCTGGCCCTGAGGCTGGGCGCATGCAGTGCCACCAACCGCTACCAGCAGTGGAGGTTTGGCAGCTACCATGTGGCGTGATGGAGCACTGGGCCGCTGCAAGACATCCAGCAGCAGTGACAGAGCTGGGAGTTCCTTTCCAAGCCAGAATTGAACCAGCACAGAGCTTGGAGCACCCCGTGTAGCACAGCCGGCGTAAGGACATTGGAAATGTGATTTTCCTTCAACTGTGAGGCAAAAACCCACATCGTTTTCTGTTATTAAATGGAAATATTTTCTGACGTCCTCTGTCCTCTCGTAAGCTGACCTTCTGTAACATCCCCAGAAGCAGCACGTGCTGACAGGAATACCTCTGGGCTCCCTGCTCTGTGTGCAGCCAGCAGGGCACCGTGGGGTGGCTGTGGGCACTGTGGGGTGGCTTCGACACTGCAGCTGCACATTGCTGCCCAGCATTTGCAGGCTGCTACAGACCAGCTCACACCTCTCCTCTGAGTTCAAGAGGCACAGCATAATGTTACCCTTCACATTGAGGATCAGTGCTGACAGCACTTGACAGCCTGCGTCTGCCACACCATTGACTGCCCTAACAGATTTCCACGATTGGCTCCTGCTCCATATGTCTTCCTGATTTTATCTCCCCCCTTTGGTGCTGCTCGCCTGCAGTCACTATCAGAAAAATTGCACAGATGTTGTTTGTGCAGTCATGTTGTATCAGGAGCATGAATTTCATTAAATGCTGTTTGCTGACATTCAATCATTTGTCACTGAACAGTCAGAGCGTGTTCCCGTGTCACAGTCACATCCCATTCCCAGCATTGTCCTTGTGCATTTATCCCCTGTGCCTGTGTCAGTGCTCCTGCACTGCTGGTGTCTTTGACTCAGACCCCAGCACACCCTCAGGGTCTGCTGGTGACGCACAGGAGAGCATGGATCCTGGCACAGCCACACAGCTCCTAACCCAGCACAGGGACAACAGAGAGGAGTTAGTTTCAAAATGAGGCTGTGCCTCCAGTCCTGACCCCCTGGAGCTGCCTCCCATTCCCACCGTGCTGTGCGCCCTAAATGTCATAGAATTATCATGACAACTCTAAAGGTTGGAAAAGACCTCTAGGATGCCCGAGTCCAACCTCAGCCCACCCCCACCATGCCCACTGACCAGATCCCTCAGAGCCACATCTCCCCAGGCCTTGAACACCCCCAGGGATGGTGACTTTACCACCCCCTGGGCAGCTGCGCCAGTGCTCGACTGGCACAGGAGAAGAAATGTTTCCTAAAACCCCAAATCCCTCCCCTGGCACAATGCGAGGCCATCACCTCTCATCCTATTGCTGTTATCTGGGAGCAGAGGCCGACCCCCACCTCACCACAGCCTCCTGTCAGGAGCTGTAGAGAGCCATAAGGGCTCCCTGAGCCTCCTCTTCTCCACACTGACCCATCCCAGCTCTCTCAGCCTATGCTCTCCATAGGACCGTGCCCAAACTCTGCACAGCTCCATTGCTCTTCTCTGGACATGCTCCAGGACCTCAATATCTTTCTGGTAGAGAAGGGCCCAAAACTGAACACAGCACTGAGGTGCAGCCTCACCAGAGCTGAATACAGAGGGATGATCACCTCCCGCTCTGCTGGCTGCACCACTGCTGACACAACCAGGATGCTGTTGGCCTTCTTGGCCACCTGGGCACAGTGCTGGCTCACGATCAGCAGCCATCTACAAACACCCCCAGATCCTTTTCCTCCACGCAGCCTTTCCAGCCACTGCCCCACACCTGCAGTGCTGCATGGGGTTGTTGTGGCCGAAGTGCAGGACCCAGCACTTGCTCGTGTTGAACTTCACCCCATTGCCCTCAGCCCAGCATCAGCCTGTCCTGATCCTCTGCAGGGCCTTCCCACAGAGCACCTCACCTGCGCACAGCCCTGAGAATGCAAGCCAAGCACTGCAACACGGTACAGGCAGGTGATAAATGGAGGAGACATGCAGCGTGGGGGGGCTGCCCACAGTGCAGCCCCTCCAGTGCCTGGGAAGGAGCAGGGGGAGCAGGCAGGTGCCAGCAGCCTGCCGGGAAGAGCTGAGCGGGGCTGGGGGAGCAGCAGGCAGCGGGGAACAGACCGGCACTATGGGGCGTACAACCAACCTCTGAGGTTTTTTGCAAACTGAAGAGCAAATAAACAATTCTGAATGGTACAATGAGGACTGTGTTTTGTTTGTACAATACAGAATTGCCATTTATTATTTTGACGTTGCCAATAAATAATTGCCTTTCTGTGGAACAAAAAAAGTCAAAGCAATACTCAGTGCTGCTGGAAATAACGTAAAACTGAGAATTAAAAAAGCAGTGGTGGCTGAAGGGGAGTGCTGGGGTGGGAGTCACAGTCCAACCCTGCTCAGACCACCTCTCCTTTCCCAGAGCATCCCCAGTCCTTTCTGGGTTGATGTCTGCAAAGCTCGGTCCCAACTCAAGACAAAGCTTTCCATAAAATAGTTTGAAAGAGACCACATCCACAGCACTGTGGTTATACAAGAGAGCTTTAAAATGGAGAAAGGGAAAAGGCTGTGTTCAGGTGGCAAAAAAAAAATTACCCTTGAAATCTGCTTTGTCTAAAAGAAAAAAAAAAAAAAAATTAAAATTTTGCATCTAAACTTAGTTTGAAAATTGAGAAGAAATGTTAAGAAATGCAGCCACAGTGCAAAATGGCAGCATGTGGAGAACACAGCTGTGGTGCTGGGAGTACTGGACTGATCCAGAGCTGCATGGGGCTGGGTTGGGCTGTGCTCAGTAAGGCTGGGCTGCGTGGCCCCAACCACCCCAGCAGCACGAGGACTGCAGTTGCTCAGGGCACGCTGCTGTGTGAGTGTGGGTATGAACAATAGAGAGAAAAGAAACAGGTGAACTTGAAGTGAATTGATGTTACACCTTCAGCAAACCGATCGTTCCCCATCCTATGGATGCCCCACCTGCTGTCGAAGGGAAGGTATTTGGGAAATCACATACAAAAAGGAAGCAGGGGTGAATCCATGCTGTGTGAAGGCCGTGTCTTGGGAGACAAACAAAACCAGAACCAGCGCGAGCTCTCGGGCACATTAAGAGATTCCCCACCTCGGTTTATAAGTGCATCATGGATTCAAATTCATCGATTCTTTGTTTGGTGTTTCCTTTCCTGATCTTCCTGTAGGAGATGGTGTTGTACCGGGAGTAGCTGTGCCTGGAGATGTCGTTCTTCTTCCCCAGCCCCAGCTGCTCCCCAGCCCTCTCTGCCGGCGTGTTGCAGGCAGGGCTGCCAGGGGGGGACATCTCCATGCTGCCCTCCTGCTGCTGGGGGACCGCGCCGCTCCCCTTCGGCACCTCTATCACCTGCACCTCGTCCTCCTCGGTGTCCTCCTCCTCCTCCTCTTCCTCCTCCTCTTCTTCCTCCGTGGCGTCATTCCCTCTCTGCTCGGTGCTGTCCGTGGGGGTCACTGCATCCTCCCCACCAGGACTGCCTGCTGTGCCCGGCACCCGCTGCCCTGCGGCACAGAGAAGCACGGTGAGCCCCATCCCATCCGGGTGGCTGAGGATTGACACCCCCAGGATGAGGTGTGACACCCCCAGGCTGCACCCACCATGCACGCACACATTGCAGGCGCAGTCCAGCACACAACAGTGCCATAGTTGCACCTGCTGGGGCTCAGACCCTCTGCCCACCCAGGACGTGGGCAAACGCACGTCCCCACTTGAGAAGCGTTTGGTATTGTTCTGCTTGGCACATCTCTGCTCCCGTGTCACAACAAACACTCTATTCAGTGTCTGCCTGCGGGGTTCTGGGTAGTAATTAGACTAAATTGGTCAGGTACTAAAAAGCTGCCTGCAATTTGGAGATAAAGTGATCGTGGCTGAGGTGAGGGGGCTGTGCAGGATCGTTTAATAGATTGTATTGTGCACTTGCAAAGCAGCACAGCTGGAGTGGGGATGTTGGTGTGGAGAGGGAAAGCCTCCATCCTGATTCATCTCAAAGCCATTCAGACGTATTTTGCTCAGGACAAATGCTCATATATTTTTTGCTTAGGGAAAGGTACACCAGTTTCTGATCACAAGGCACAGCCATATATCTCCTACATCTGCATTCACATGGCTCAGCTCTGTGACAACCACCCCAAGCTGCTCATCTGCTCCTCTCTGACGAGGAGCTCAGTATCGATGTGGCAGCTGACATATAGGAACCAGCAGCTCACGGCAGCCTGCTGGGCACGCGGGTGGGGGCAGCAATGTGGGACGGCAGCAGCCATTCCTGGAGCCAACAGCTCTCATCCCAGCTACCCCATGTCCTTGTGAGGAGCCCAGGAGCGTCCACATGAATGGTCAGTACTGGGACATTACATTGGAGCCCTCATAAATCGGGGAGGAAAGGGGTCTGGGTTCTGAGGACATACAGCTATGGGCAGGAACGCATTTCTCTCCTCTGCAATGCAACGTGAGGTTTTGGCTGAATTTGGAAGTGACAAAACTGTGCGTAGCATTGCCTGGGAGGCTGCTTGCTGCCATGCTCAGGCTCCGACACACAGCACTCTGCATTACCTTCCTCCAGCTCCTGCCTGCAGGCTCCCATGTCCTGGGGCTCAGCTGTATCCTGGGGCTCAGCTGCTCCCTCCTGCAGCGTGGCAATGTTCTCCTCTTGCTTTTCTTTGGGAAATACAAAGGACAAGAATTGGACTCGTGGAACAGTTAGTGACAATAGTTAGGCTTTAATTGTTGCAGATTGGCAGCAGAATTTTCGAGCGGAGCAAAGAAACCGCTCTTTTCTTTGGTCACATGCATTCCAATCCATCCTTTGTAACTGCCAGCTCAGATCTGTCGCTAACAATTACTCCGAGTCACTGATACCCACAGTTGCAGCTCAGGAGCTCTGAGCAGCACACACAACACATCCCGCTCTTCGTAAGGCTGCACATCAAGTAGAAACTTTTCCGCCCAAATACTAAATAAAAAGGCAGCACCGCACATTACCTCCGCATCGCTCCTCTCCATCACAGTCCCCGTGTGCTACATCCTCCGCCAACGAGTTCCCGCTTTCCTCCACATTTCCTTTTGCCAGCAGAGTGCCGGGCTGCACACCTGCCTCCACGCAGGGCACGGTCGCCACGGCTCCGGTGATGCCATTGGTGATGCCGTCAGCCAGCGGCAGGCCCTCCTGGGGGGCCGCAGTCCCGTTGCACGCGGGCAGGCCGGGCACCGAGGGCACGTTCTCGCTCATGCTGAGCGCCCGGCGCTGGGCCGCGTGTGCGGGCAGCCGGCCCTGCTCAGCCCCGGCGGTGACAGCGCGGGGTTTGGCCGTGGCACCGCGGGGCCCAATCAGCGTCTCACCCACCACGCGGGCTGCCCGGCCGCACGGTTAAATGCCCGCTGCCATTTACATAAACAAACAATATGAAGCAAGGCGGCTTTTGTGCTGGCGCGCGGAGCGGGGCTCTAACGTGTCAGCCGCGGTCACACACAGAGATTTTGTCTTCCCGCACAATGGCCCTTTGTGCCTTCCCCTGCAGCGGGAGCACCGACTGTTCTCGCCCCCTAATCCGCAGAGGGTGACCGCCCCGTCGCAGCCCCATAACCGGCTTAGCGCGGCCCCAGCTCTGCCCCGCGCAGCCCCGGTGCGCCGGAGCCACATTGGTACCATCGGCACGGAGCGACGGCACTGACATCACATCGCATCGCATCACACCCCGGGGGATGCCCAGCGGCCGCCCCGTGAAAAGGCACCTGTGGGCTGCAGAAATGCTCCCCGAAGGAATACGGAAGGGGAAGGCATGAGATAAATGTGCACGTAGGAGCTGCCGGCCGGACCTTCCAGCCAGACGGCGTGTGAGGGCTGCGCGAGCAGCCGGCCCTTTCCTGACCACAGCTGAACCCTGCCCTGCCGACCAGAGCCAGGTTTACATAAGGATGTAATCTCCTGCTCTGAACGACTTTTTTGTATTCATACAATGCAACATTTCTGACATCTTTGGGCTCTGGGATTTGGAAATCCTCTTGTTGAGGTCAGACCTTGATTAAAAGCAGAGCCAAAGCCCTGTGACTGTTTTAGTTCAGCCGTGAGTTTGCATCTTTAACTCAACAACTTCCACTGGCGCTGTAAGTGGGGTTGGTGCAATTGATTCCTAACATTGATCTTTTGTTTGAAAAAATGAGTCCAAGAAAAAAGGGTGCAGATGGTGGGAAACTGCTGCAGGTGCCATCAAGAGGTGTGCATCACAGGCTGCGGAGCGGAGAGACTATTTCTGTTCTTCTGAGCTACTGGCGATAGCCCCAAACTAATCCAAAGGACCCTGAATGCCGCTCCTCGTTGGCCAGGTCCCGTCCCCAGAGCTTCCCTCTGGTGGCCACGGCGCTGTAGAAGCCCTGAAACACAGCCTGGTGCCATCTATTGGTGGCACACTCCGTCCTCACCCAGAGGCACCATTCCCAATTAGCACCTCGTGGTCATAGCACTATTTGCACGAATCTCTTCTGAAGCACTTCCCGAGTGACCTTTAAAGCAGGACGTTTCCATTCCAGAAGTCCCTCCCCTCACATTTCGCAGGTAGCACTGTGAGTGCAGACAGCAGGAAGGCAAACATAGGAGAGCCTCATTATAGCCACAGCAACTCCATCTCAGCAATACTGAGCAGCCATTCCATGAGGTGTTCACAGGGCTCCTTGTGCTCCCACAGTCACACAGCTCGGCTGTAGTGGGTGCTGCAGCCTTGGGCCAGGGCAAGGCAGTGCTGCTCCTGCCCTTGTTCCAGGAGCAGTGAGCCGAGGCCATCGGGCCTCCTTGACTGCTGCTGCAACTTAATGCTGCCCAGTCTGAAAGGCACAGAGCTGCACAACTGTGGATGTAATGGGGCTGTGCGGTAGGCATGAAGTTCCAGGTCTGTCTCACCTGAATTGTGGCTGGAATGGAATGGTACTGACCAAAGGCAATTCCCAGCTTTGTGGATGTGCAAGGTGTGCTCACCACTTGCACCCCAGGTAACTGCACTCCATAACCCCCTTGGTGCCATGAGAGCTGGCTGCCTCCAGCTGCTTTGCACAGAAGCCTCTAAAGCAGCTGCACAGAACAGAAATACTGGGCGAAAGCAGAACTCACCTGGGCAAAAGCACACACAGAAGGGAGAAGAAGCACAGCCAACCCTGGAACACGGGCAGAGATCAGCCACTGAAACAAGAACTGCCTTCGAGCAGAACAGAACCAGGGGCAGGCAGAAACCCAAGGCTGAGACAGGGAAGTGCAGAAACCTCATGTATGCCCATGGCTTCCAGGGCCAGGTCTCCAGTCTGCAGGGGGAGAGCAGTTGCAAGGTAACACAGCTTCAAAGCCAGAATAGTTTTCCACCATAATCTGTGCAGAAGCCAGAACACATCTCATGGCTTTGGGAAAAAAAAGCAAAAATAAAACAAAAACAAAACAAAACAAAAAAAAAAACAAAAAAAAAACCCTTCAGCTACAGAAAGTACAGCCCGAGAGAGCCAAGCACAAACCCCACACAAGGCAGGCATCCCATCTGGGCCCCGAGCTGCTGGTGACAACCAGCCTGCAGCAGGGGACGGGCTGGGGGGCTGGGGGTCCCTTCCGAGCCAACCGGGCTGTGGTTCTATGGCTCTCCCCCAGAGGGCGGTGGGCACGGCGCAGCTACTCAAGGCAGCGGGCACAGCACAGCGCTGCGGGGCTCAGGGAGAGCTGGGACACCGCTCTCAGCCACGGGGTTTCGGTTTTCAGTGGTCCTATGAGGGGCCAGGGGTTGGACTCGATGGACTCCTTGTGGGTCCCTTCCAACTCGAGATGGTCTGTGGTTCTGTGATTCTCCTCGCACACCTGGGGCTGCCCTGAGCGCTGTGTGCTGCCGCTCGCACGGAGCAGTGCCGCTGCGAACAGCGCTCATTCCCTCCGCTCTCCAGTTTGCCCGTGCTCCTCCCCCCCCAGCCCCCGGCCCCCAGCCCGCTGCAGAGCTGTGATCGCCCACATCCTGTTTTTGATGCGTTGTGCAGCTCCTGGCCGCCAGAACACCGCGCTGCGGTCGCACGCTGTGCTGTAGCAACCAGAGCGCTCTGTCACCACTGCAGGATCAGCATCGCCTCCATAAAGTCTTTTTAAGGCCTTTCTTAGGCCAGTTGGGTGCACGGGCACACCGAGTCCCTCCACAATACCAGCAGGCACACATCAGCCAGTACAGTGAGTTACCCTCCCACACCAGGAGTCGCTGTTTGTGACCATAAACCTGCATTAACTCCAAGATGCAGCCCCAGGAGTAAAGCTCACGTCGCATTTTGAACACCTTTTATGCAAAGGGAGGAGCAGGATGTGCAACAATGCAACTACCCTGCCCAGTGCCTGCAGCCCGCACCAAGGAGCATGTGATGGCAATGCAAAGTGTGTTTTTGGGGAGCCGTGGGGGCAGAGATGCCCCTGTTTTCCTGGAAGCCCAGAAAATAAACCACATATTTACTTACAAGTGAAAATGATGGTACCTGAGGAATTCCCAGAATGTTTCTTCATAACATTGTGCGCCAAGGAGGGTTCTTAGCTCATTTGCAATCTGGTATTTCTGGTGTTTAATCTGGACACTGAGATGGACTCGGAAGGTGCATTGAAGGTACGGCTTCCCCAGGCATCATTTAGTAAGGGTAAGCAAACAAATTAGCCAAGTCAGACGTCTTTCCACCAATAAATCAGGCATGTCACTTGGCAGGAGGTACAAAATGGGAATATTTGCTTCTCTACACTGCACAACCATGACTGAGTGTAATGTCCCTTTTTAAATGTGGGATCCCTTCTGGGCATTAAATCAACTGGATTGCCTGGCCACGGTGCCCATGGCTGCTGTCGCTCGGACAGTTCTATGTCTGCCATCAGTGTCCGCTTGGGAATGACCTCTACTTCTCATTCTTTCAAACACCTCTGTTGGCAAAGGGAAGCTGCACCTCAGGACAACAAACCACGGGTTGAAACCTCTGTGTCTAAAAGGAGCTCCAATGAGGAGAGCCATGGGGAGCCCTGGCCAGGGGTTGGTTGCACCACAGCACAGCCATCCCCGCTCATCTTCGTGGTGAACATCTGCCTCTGCACCGTGCAGAGCTACAAGCTCAGTGAACCTGAATGGTGCGGTCAGACCATGGCGTGCTGATGAGCATCTTCTCCAACCTGCTGAAATTCCAGTAAGCCAATCTGACCACAGCAACCTCAAGGGGTGATGGTGATGACACCTAGCACAGAAATGACCTGTCACTGGGCTGACACAGCACAGAAAATGTTCTTTGAGCAAGCCTGGTAGGAATGGCACAAAAAAGTCCCATGGCTTCAGCAGGGCCCGAATTGCCACACTGCCAAGCTGTATCACAACACAGGGCACAGATCACCACACTCCCATGGCACCCACTCCACTGGGATTCTCCCTTCAGTATCTCAGCATTGCCACCAGCCTGTTTTCCTCCCTCCCAAACTCACAGATGATAGAATCATGGAATGGGTTATGTTGGAAGGGACCTCTGCCCAGCACTGCTGCTGCTCCCCAGCACACTTGCCCTGCACTCACTGCTAGGCATCCCCCCCCAGCACATCCTTCTTGTATCAGCACCAACGCCTTCTGCCCTGCATAAGCCAGCAGCACAGCAGCTCTCTTCCATCACCAGCGTGCAGTTCTGCAGCACAGGCTGGGCGCAGGGCTCTGCTGCGTGACCCAGGACGTTTGTGCTGCACATCCCCTGCAGTAAGGGAGGTTTGGCTGAGCTGTGCCCCCGAGCAGCAGCACTGTCCATCCCAGCACCACCTCTGGGACCTACCCTGCATGAGGTCTGGGCTCTGCCCTGCTCCTGGCCACCAGCTTAATAGAAGCTCTTGCTTTATTGAAGATCTCTGAAGACTGACTTCGGTAACAGAAAATAAATAGTTAGAAAATTTGCACTTGATTAAAACCCGTCGTTAACACTAAATATGCTGAGGGAGTCGTTCACAGTTCCTCACCTCTTGGAGCTAGCCATTTTTTATGTTAATGAAGAAGTCCACGATTCACTCGGATTAAAAATTAAAATAATTAATAAGTCAGAGCATTTTAAATACCATCAGTCCTGCTGTAAGGCCGTGTGGGTAAGGAACAAACGCAGCCCCGTGCTGCTCCACCTGCCCCTGGGGAACGCGGCGTCACACCCGGCTTTCCTCCTCCTCCAGCGCCCGGTGAAGGCCTGGAATGAATTTCAGGAGCTGCTTTCGAACGCTCGATCTCCTGCTCTTTCTCGGGAGCGTCCCGAAGCTGCTGGAGCTGCCGCCACTCTCCCACAGCGGGGACATGGAGCCGCTGCTGGCCAGGCTGATGCTGCGGTGCCTGCGCAGGGAGCACCTCCCGGCCGTGCCATCGCCATCCCTGGGTAGGAAGCAGTCGTCGTCCACGCTGGACTGGCGGCTCAGGCTCTCTGCTGCAGAGTCGTCGAAGGCACCGCTCTGGTAGAAGCTGTCCTCGCTGTCCAGAGTCATGGAGCTCAGGCGGCTCCGGGAGCTGCTCTCACTGGAGAAGCGGGTCTTGGTTGGAGAGAGTGGTCTTGGCATGCAGTCCCCAGATAAACTGGCCTCTTCCAGCTCCAGCAGAGCGTTGTCATTCACCTCTCCTGGAAGCAGAGGTCAAGGAGGAGCGTTATTCAACGGCATCAGTGAGCTTCTACAAGCAGACGCAGCCTACAGCTCTGCAGAGCTGCCTAGATCTGCTGCAGGGCGGTCAGCCTGGCTCCGCTTCTCCGCCCAGCCAGGGCCACCAGCTGGGCCTTCGTTCTGGCCCAGCCTCCTGCCCTTCCATCCCACCGTGGGGCTGGGCAGCATCTCACCCACACCACATCTCACCCCACATTTCCAGCTATACGGAACACTCTACTGCTGCCTTGCCTCAAAATGCAGAAGCAAATTTTCTCCCCAGGCAACACAGAAGGAGAGGACAGCTTTGTTTGTTTTAAAGTCCAGTTAAAAACAGAGAACAGAAAAGAAGCTTTCCAACCCACATGAACTCCACTCCTAGAACTCATGCATCAGCCCAGCACCCAAATTCTTCAGACACTGATAAAAAGCCTCCCCAGGGGTCAGCCCGTGCCCTCAGTAAGATGGAAAAAAAGAAAGCAGATGGAAACCAGGTTAGAGGAGTGGCTGGTGCTGCTCAGCCCCAGCTTCCCCCACAGGTCTCAGCAGCGCTGCGGTTTCCCACCCGGAAACGGAGACTCACCATGCAGCAAACGCTGTTCCTGTAAGTGCAGGGAGCGCAACTCCACCCACTTCTGCTGCAGAGTTTGCTGCGAAGGATTAAAAGAACTGACTGTCATTCACACTTTCACAAAGTTACAAAACACTTCAAACAAAGCAGGATCCCAGAGAGCACTCTTTGTCTGCAGGATGCGGAGGTGTGCCTTCTTTCTGCACAACACAGCATTCCTGGGGCTCAGCAAGCCTCCTCCAGCAAGCTGCACAGCTTCCCTGAGCAAAGTGCTTTGGCTGAGGCGCTGTCTGCGTGAGATGTGCAAAAGCAGAAGGCTGAAATCTGGACTGCAGGCAGCCGTACTCAGATGGCCTTTCACTGAGCCACTGCGCAGCCTGCACGTGCTGACATCCCGCCCTCCCAGCGAGCAGCATTTTGTTATTTCCTCTGTTGCAGGTCAGCCATTGATCTAACAAATAACTGCTGCACTGGTTAAGAAGCAGCCAAGTGAGTGCCTGCTGGGTTCACAAGAAAGCACCACACACTTCCTTGGCAACCTGCATGAGCACACGACTGGGCAGTCTGGCAAGTTACATGGCTATCCATGCAGAGTGCCCAAGTAAAGCTTGCGTGGACAATATTGCTGTTCCTTGCACATTTTTCTATGCTCCACATTCCAGCAACACCAATCAAAACACCACAGCTTTGGGGTGAGGCACCAGAACGGCAGCAGCCCTTGCCCTGGGGCTATTCGCCATCCCTCAGCCCCAGCCAAAAGCTCAGCCACATGGCAGGTTGGTTTCTCCCATCCCATCAGACCTCACCGGCAGCCTGCCTGGTGCTTGGTGGCATGGCACGGCAATGATGCTGGGCACAGCCCTGCGCTGTGCATCAGGCAGGAGTGCTGACACAACAGTGAAAGCTCTCCTTGCAGAGGCTTGGCACTTTTGGGAAACCACTGCTATCTGAACAAGAAAGCTGAGTGTTTCAGAGCAGCTTCTGTCTTCCTGAGTTCTCTGAACCATACGGGGAGGGGCAGCCACAGCGCTGCTCACACAGGCATTGTCCCCAGATGCACACAGATGGCAAATCGCATTCCTGCTGCAAAGTTCTGGCAAGCCTGAACATTTATCATGAAGTTTATTCCAGCTAGATCAGTATCTGGTTTGAAGTACTCCATTCCTGCAGGGAGGGCCTTGGCTCAGTGCTGCCATAAGGAAAAACTCTCCATCAGGTAAAGAATACTCCAAAGTGTCTACACGTCATGCTTTGACATTCTCCAAATGCTGCCAAGCTTATTGTGCACTTACAGCACTCATCAATTCTCAGTCTGACCAAGTTTAAGGAGAGGCCAAAGTTATCTGAAGAGGAGGTCAAAATTATCAAAATGATTTTTTGATTATTTTTTCATTTGACATAATGACAAACAAGCCTACGACATGTGGTCAGCATTATTTCTTCCCTGCATCAGGCAGCGAAAAAGCTGGAGAAGCAAGACAAGCACTTGGATGCTTTCAGAAAATGCCCAGGAGCTCACAAACACGCTTTGCAGCCCTAGAGTTGGAGACAGGTGGGTCCCTGGGATGTGATGGGGAGCCAGGTCCCCACGGTTGTGGCATGACAGCCTCATGCAGGCTGGTGCTGCGGCCGAGGCGATGCCGCAGTGCGCTCAGTGAGGTGGTGCTGACATCACCCCCACACACAGCAGTGGCACCTGGCCCCTGCAGCATCCACCAGGGAGGCAGTGGGGCTGGCAGTACAAGCACTGGGACACACGGCCCCCCAGCCCCCACTGCACCCCATGGCCACCCCCACAAACAGCGGACCCACAGCAGCACTCTGTGTTTCACAGCTCGGTGGTTCACCGCGTTACCTTCAGCAGCTGCAGCTTGGTCTCCAGCTCCATCTTCCTCAGGAACAGGGCCCCGTTGACAGTCTCCAGCCTGGAAAGAAGAGGGGCTTTGGGTACCAGCATGGGGGAGCGATGCCCTACAGCGGCACATGGTGCCATGGGGTCCTCAGGGAGGGGATGCACACGGGACGGAGGGTGACCTGATGTGCCATCACCTCCCCTCAACAGATGGATTCAGCAGCTGCTGCAGGATGAGCAAAGTCACAGCGTGGGCAAGAGATGCACATCACAGTGCTCCGTGTCTGGGAGTGTGGCACTGCTGCTTAGCACAGGAAGGTTCAATGGTTTCCAGCAGAACAGTGTCAGACTCAAAGCACTGTGAAGGGCAGATGCCTACCTTAAATAGTTCCCTGAAGACTTTATCAAGTCTACAATTTGCTTGTGACTAAAACCATCGGTGTTCACTCCGTTGACATTGGCAAGAATATCACCTGTAGAGATAAGCAGAAGCTACAATGAGCATCTTCAGCATACACATCCCTACCACATTCACATTCTCAAAAAAAACAAAACTAACATGGAGAAAAGCAACCAGGACCACCCACAGATAGGAAAGAAAACCATCATTACCAATTTGAAGGCCAGAAAACTGAGCAGGACTTTCCTCTTGAATTTTGCAGACACAAGTGCATACCTCCAAGGAGTAATCGGTTTGGTTTGGAAACCTAATAGTCTGTAAATAGCAAAGAAAAAGTGCTGCTGATATTGAAGACATGACTACAAGTAATATTCAAAATACTGTCATTTGACCTATTTTCATTTCATACTCTTTTTAAAATGAGAAGGCTGTATTGAGCAGGTTGTATTACCATAACTCTTGGTAGAATCCATTGTCCTCTTATCAACTTTGACATTCGTTTAGAAAAATGCTAAACTGAGAGATATGACCTTAGCATCTTGCAATGACAGGAAATGTATTTTGGGCTGCATGCAAATATCAGTATTCAGCCACATCCTCTGCCAAGAGGATGTTTAAGACTGAAACTGAAGTTCCTGAAAACCTACGACAGTCAACCTACCTTACATACGTCATGACAGATTCCAAAATTCCTCAGTCAACACTGAACAGAGATGAATTCTATCACGAATTCAGAGTTTATTAGAGCAAATCACACCAATGAGGTGATTTCAGCCTTAAAACCATCAGCAAAACTTTCAGCTAAACTAAGAACACCAAATGATGTCATGCCCCGTCCATCCCTGGAGGTGTTTAAGGCCAGGTTGGATGGGGCCCTGGGCAGCCTGGGCTGCTATGAAATGTGGAGGTTGGTGGCCCTGCCTGTAGTAGGGGGTTGAAGCTTCATGATCCTTAGCAGTACCAATGCCATACATGCAGCACACAAGAGTCCCTGCGTTCAGCCATCACTGTAGCTCTGAGGAGCTCCTTGCAGATGGCAGACCTAGAATTTCACATCCTCGTATTCTGGTTTGCTTACGTAGCAGTAATGAAACTGCAACTTCTAAATAATGGCTCATGCTTGGTACCAACTGACACCGTCATTTCACAGCCTGGACTTTCTAGTGAAATGCTCACACTGAATGTACGTTCAGGAAGAAATACGCCAAGAATAATTATTTTTAATCAGAATG